GGGGTTGGGAGAAGAGACTCAGGGGACGACCATGAATGTGAGGGGTTTTGTAAATAAATAGGTTTAGATTTAGAGTTTTTCAAAGGTGAGCTTTTGTGGGATTAACTCAGCTCTGTGGCTCTGCAGAAGCAGAGGAGTCACTGAACATGCTTTCTGGCTGAATCTCTTCCATCCCTTTTGGGAAGGTTTTCCATAATTTTAAGTCAGTTATTCACCCTTTTGAGGTATACAGTGTGATGCGATGACTAATGTATACAGTTGCGTGACCACCACCACAACTGTGATCTAGAACATTTCCGTCACCCCAAAGCATTCTCTGATGGTCAAACCCCTTGCCACGTGCACCTGCTGGCCAGCACTGCTCTGCTTTCTATCACTACAGTTTTATCTGTTCTAGAGTTTCCGATAAGTGGATGGTACCTTACAGCACGTAGTCTTTTATGCCTGGTTTCTTTTATGTAGCACAATGATAGTTTTTGAGATCTGTCCATGTTATGTGGGTCTATAGTTGGTTTCCCTTTATCACTGAGCAATATTCCATTGTATGGATATGCCTCAGTTTGTTTATCTGTTCACCAGTAGATGAGTCAGTACCTTTGGATTCTTCCCGGGTTTGTGCCATTATGAATTAAACTATCACAAAATAAAATGTAGTGAACAATTGCATGCGGGTCTTTCTGTGGACATGTGGTCTCATTACTCTTAGGTAAATAGCCAGGAAAAGACTGTTGGGGTATTTGTTAAGCATGTTTAACTGTATAAGGAACTGCCAAACTGTTTTTCAAAGTGACAGCACCTTTGTGCATCCCAGTTATATATCTGTGAGGCTCTGGCCTCTGCTATGCCTCCTCACCAGCGCTTGTTTTTTTTTTTTTTTTAAGATTTTATTTATTTATTTTAGAGAGAGAAGGAGACAGAGATAGTGAGAGAGAGAGAGAGAGAGAGAGAGAGAGAGAGAATGAGCAGGAAGGAGAGGGAGAAGCAGGCTCCCCACTGAGCAGGGAGCCTGATCCCAGCCTGATCGAGCAGGACTCGATCCCAGGACCCTGGAATCATGACCTGAGCTGAAGGCAGATGCTTCGCCGACTAAACCACGCAGGCGCCCCAGCACTCGGTATTATGAGTCTTTTTCATTTTAGCCATTCTAGAGGATGTATTGTGGTATCACGCTTGGTTTTGTTGCTGCTGTTTGGATTAAATTTTGAAGTATGGTTTCTCAGGTTTTTTCTCTTATGGTTTTTGCTGTGTCTAGGATGTCTAACCCAAGATCATGAAGTTGGCTGCCTGTATTTACCCTTAAAATAAATGCTTTCTGGCTTAATCTTCGTGCCCTCAGCTTAACTCTCCTCTGTCTTTATGCACAAAGTGAATACAAACACTTCACATATCATAGTAAATGTGATGAAAATGTGTGTTACAGTTTTAAATTAATGCCTGGTGTATACCTCCTTTACTACCTTGTGTCTGCATTGCCTCCTATGGGCGTGTTTGTGCACGGCCAGACAGGCACATAGAATTTTCTGGAGTCCTCTCTCCTACATAGCTGTCTCCTCATGCTCCAGCAGGGGGCGTTAGTTTATGTTACAGCAGTCAAGCAGCTAATTATGACTGCTGATGTGACTTTCACATTGGACAGTGACATTTGTTAAGTGTGTAGGCCAGGCCCCTGTCCAAAACCCTTTTATAGATCTTAACCAACTTAATCTTCAAATCCCCAAGGAAGAAAATGAAGGCTCCAAGACTTCACGCTCCGTATGATAGCAAGTTTGAGGCAGGGTCAGTGAGATCCCGAGCGGCTTAATGCCGGTGCTTTGCTCTTCCCACTGTAATAAACTACCACAGGCTGTGGCTGGAGTCTTATGTGATTGAACACATCCTGGGAAACAATATCCACCTGATTGTTGTCTTTCTCAAATCAGATGCTTCTCCAGTCTCAGTTCAGACACCTGATTCTAAAGTCCTACAGTGGGGGCCTTCCAATAGTTTCCCAAAGGATGGCCCTTAGCCCATAGATAGAGACCCACCCGTATCAGCAGGGCCACAGAGGAAGGCTGTGTAGTTTGTGCACTGCTCAAAAGTACACAGCTAAGGGGGAGGTAGGGACTGAATTCCAGCCTGCTTTTGTCCTGTGGGTCCAGGAGGCTGTCTTCCGAGAGCATCCTCTTTAGTTCCCACAAGGGCACTGTGTCTGCGAGTAGTGGCCCTTTCAGGTGAAGCTGGCTGACCCCTGCGATCCAGGGCATGCACATGTGCTGCACTTCACTTAGTCACCACATCCCACCGTCCTGGCCATAGCGATGGGCTGAGGCCTGAGCAAATGATGCACATCAGGGGATCCTTGGCCAATAAGGCTTTGTTTGGAGGCTTCTGTTTGAGGGCTGCGGGTGTCTTTTTTCCTAAGGTGAGCACTGGGGCTGTGGCTGCCAATCTTGCAACTGGATGGGGCTTGATAATGAGGTTCATTCCTACCAAAACGGGTCTAAAAATGCAGAGAGAAAACCCTGTTCTGGTGACTTTGTTGAGCTCTTGGTCGGGTTATGCCCGAAGCCCACATCTACCCACAGACAGTAGAGTAACATGTACCAACGCATCCTCTGTTTTCCTTAGACAGTCTGGCTGTCGGTTGTGACCAAGAGTGCACTAACTAGTCCATACATAGCACACTCAGGCCTGCTCCCCGTACCCCTTCCTGGCTCTGTGTTTCCATCACAGCACCTGTCACCCTCTCATACGACATTGTCTGTTTATTTAGTTAATTGTGTTTATGCCTCCACTCTTCACCCCTGCTCTTTAACAGCAAGGGATTCATCTAGTTTGTCCATTGATCGATGTGCAATCCCTGAAATGAATTCTTAGCACATAGCATACGTTTAATAAGGTGCTGTTGAATGACATAGCTACTCGATGGATAATTAAAGATTACTAAAATTTCATATGCAGAACTGGAAACCAGCACAGTTCTAAAGTTAACCAAGGACCAGCCTTCTAATAAGACACGTGGCTGCTTGCCAGTGTTTGGAACCTGTGCTCACACACATGCAGCTTGTTGGCCTTCCAGCAATTTCAGGGAGAGTGCTTAGTTAGTGTTACATCACCAAGAGTGTTTTAGGTTGGTGATGCTACTCAGTTGGAACTGTTTTTAAACATGCGTTAAGAATTTTTAATGTATTTACAGAATGATTGTTAGGTTGTACTTTGCTTTCTGTTGGTATATCTATTATTTATCACTCCTTGGATTTTTATTTTATCTTTGCTTCTTTGCTATCATGAGCTCCTTTTCTGGAGGAGAGGATGAATGAATTAAGAGAGGTGGGCAGGCCATGGTGTCTTTTATCTCTCATATGTGCCATAGTCAGGAGACATGGAGAATCTCTACTTTTTTGGGAAATTGTGACCCATGTTTCTCTTCTATTCTATTACTTCTTACAGGAAAGACCACAGAATCTGGCACTTAATCCAGCGAGGTCCTTACATGGATCCTATCAGTCTGGCATTTCAGATTTATCTTCCATCATAGAATCGGATACCTTTGTTTCTCTGATGGTGCCTTACTCAGAACCCTGGTAGGAGTTGGTGGTTGCTTTTCACTGAAGCTAACTATCAGCCTGTCATCTTGTCTGAACTCCCACCATTAAGACATTTATCGTTTGGGTTACCAAGCCTTTTTGCGACCTATAATTTCTGATGTCTTCCTCTTTGGTTCCAAAAGGGTGACAGGGGTGTGGAGGAAAGGAGGAAGAAGTGGGGTGGGAAAATCAGCTCTCTTTTCACTTCCCTTATCATCATTGCACTCTTCTGTGAGCCAGCATGTCATAGCTAGTCTCAGCCTACTAATGTCACAGAGGAGCAGGGGAGCTTTCTCAGGTTCGGGTATAAGACTCTCTGTGGACTGGTTGGCAGAGCAATGTGGGGGGAAGCCAATGGCCATCCACACAGCCTGAAGTGCGTGGCTTGGCCACACAACCTCACTCTCTGGTGGTGCTTCTAAGAAATGCAGATGTGATCACACCAAAGTCGTATTTTCTGTAATTGTCAAGTCCATATTATTTCTTCTTATATAGCCGAGTAGATTCTTGACCTAGAGAGTCCCAAATCTGTACAAGCGAAAAATTACCTCCTGAGGATTAGAGCAACCACCTCATAAGGGATCTCAAACCTCACCAGGCAGAGAGGCTTGAGTGAAGAGATGGGGCTGTTAGTGGCTGGGGAGACAGGAGCACCAGGCCCGAGGCAGCTCCAGGCCACTGGCTGTGACTCTTGTCTACCCCCATCAGCTGCTGTACTCACTCTGAAATAACACCACCCATTCACCCCGACACAGAGGTTGGCCAGGCCTAGGGCCTCCCTCCCTCCTCTCATCAAACCAGGGCCACAGCTGGGGAGGAGCTATTCTGAGGGAAGGCAGGGTCTAGGAGGAAGGAGATGAAGAAACACATGGGTATATTTTTCATTCCCATCACTATTGAACTGGAACAGAGCAATCTTCTACGCAGACAGCTACTTACTAAAAGATGGCCCTGGCATCTGTGGTCCACATCAGCCTAATAGGAACCCTGCTGGTTGACATGCCCTGTTGCAGAAGGAAGACAAAGGAGGTGTCTGAGCAGGAGGATGTGGGCACTAGAGAAAGGGCAGAGGAGTTCAGAAGCTGAAAGGGGCTAGGAGCTCACTCCTCAGGTTCCTCCTCCTGTCTTCCAACCTTTACACCTGATGGCCCAATGCCCAGGACTTCACCAGTCCCCCTAGATGGCCAGAAGTGGAGAGCAGGAAAACAGTGGACCACAGGGATGGATCCCAGGGTGACCTTTAGAACTGGAAGCCACTGTTACAAACAGCGTTGAGGACTTTGCCTCTAACAAACCTAAAAAAGTGAGTGCAGTAAGGGCCTCATCAGCCTCTGTTGCCATGTTTACTCTGAGATCATGATCAAATGCAGCCAGCAAGCACAGAGGGAAGAGGACAGGGGCTTGCGAGGGGTGGGCACAGCCTCGATGCACGCTCTACGGTCGGTATTTGCACAGGAAATGCTGCTGCTTGCTGCAATCATTGCTCTCCCAACCTAAAAAATCTGTAAGAGAATAAACAGATGAGAAGAACAAAGAAAAAAGAAAATAAACACGTTCAAACCCATCCGGTTCTGTACTGCACTTCCCTGTGTTACTTGAGTGCTTTGCTTGGAACCCCCGGGAAGGCACTGCCATGGTTAATCTCATGTGTCCACTGGGCTGGGATGTGTGCCCAGGTGTTTCGTGTGAGGGAATTTTTTTATTTAGCTGTGATTAGTATTTAAATTAGTAGACTCTGAGTAGAGCAGATTACCCTCCATAATGTGCATAATCATCCAGTGAAAAGATGGAGTTTCCCCAAAGAGCAAGGAATTCTGCGTCCAGGGTGCCCCCCGGCCCAGGACTGTGACATCAGCTCTGCCAGGCTGACAATCACATGAGCCAGTTCCTTAAAAGAAATCCATCTCTCTAGGGGCGTGTGGGTGGCTCAGTCAGCTAAGCGTCTGCCTTTGGCCTAGGTCATGGTCCTGGGATCCTGCGATCAAGCCCTGCATTGGGTTCCCCACTCAGCGGGCAGTCTGCTTCTCCTTCTGCTCCTGATCTCTCTCCTCTCTCAAATAAATAAATAAAAACTTTAAAAAATAAATAAAATGCAATTTAATAAAAGTGTTCCTCAGTCAATTCTCCATGTGCCTTGGAGCTTCTCTCCTAACACTCTTAGCAGCTACAATGTCCACTTTTGCTTGGTTAACTCCAGTGATGGGGATCTCACTACTTCCCGGAGGTAGCCCATTCTATTTTTGAATAGTGTTAATTGTTCACAATTTTCTCCCTTAATTTAGACAGATATCCACATTTTGTTAGCTTCTACCTATTGATCTTGGTTGTGTCTCTTCTATCTGGACTGTCTTATGCCTTTCACAGCAGCGCTTGGGGTCTCTGCAAGTCTGGGAGAAGCCCTTCCTTCATCTGTGAGGAGACCTTCTCCTCGTGAAGGGTCGGGACCTGGCCTCAGAGTTTGTACCTTACCCACCATTCATCCTTTGCTGTTGGAAAGTTTTCTTGCTCTTTTTTGTGCATATAAACTTTATTCCTTAGAGGGCAGCCCCCCTGCCTCACATCCCTGAGTCCTCAGTCCAGGCCTTTCCCAGACCCACTTCCTGCCCAGGAGCGGTGCCCTGGTGACACCATGATGACCCTTTTAAACCCAATGTCTTTGGCATCAAGTAGCCCCTTTATCTCTGATATTCTGTTTCCTTGTTTTATAAGGGAAATGTTCCACATGATTATCCGCCGTGGTTCTCAAATGTGAGGATTTTATGGGTTATGTAGCATCGTCTGGAGACATTTTTGGTCAAAACGACCTGGGGTGGTGGTGGATCTACTGACATCAGGGTATCCTGAACCTACGATGACAGGACAGTCTCCACAACAAAGAATTATCCAGCCCCAAATGTCATTGGTACAAAGGTCAGAGACTCTAACTTATTAGCATAAAAAGCCCAGAATGAAAGCAGACAAGAGAAACCAAGAGACTCACATGATCATGTGCAGCCTGCAGCTGAGGGTCTGGGCCCTGCATTTGGGGACAAAACCCAGGGGAAAAGAAGAGGGAAGAATGCAGGCAAAGATGAGGTCCTGTGCCCTCCCAGGGACCCCTGAGTATCAAGAAGTCCGAAAGGAGTCCTGCATGTTTGCTCCCGGTAGTCGGGGTTTCCCAAATTGTGGCATCTTTCGCCCTCATGGTATGAATATATAGGATTTTAAAATAAGCCTATTACAGAAAAAAAGTGTGGATGTAAAGAACCTATTAAGTAAACAGCTGAACCACTGGGCCAGAGACGGCCAAGATTGTAAAGTGGTCACAGATGACTGAAGGTTGGTACACCATGTCTGTGGCAAGACCACCGTCCTATAGAACACAGAGTTGTTGGTGTGGATGGGCGATGAGGAGCGGACGGTCCATATTTGCTCTTACAGGTAAAGGGCAGGGCTATGATTAGGAAGAGGCAAGGGACAGCACGTGAGGACTTACTGTTCCTGGCGCTTATGTCCGCACAGTACATGTTCTCGCCCACGGACTCACCAGACCAGCTTTTGTATAAATATAAGGCCCCATCGATCCACTGCCACTTCTGCCTCTGCAAGTGACCAGAGATGGAAGATAGTCAGCCAACAGGCCTCCTGCTCACGGGCTCATAGCCAGGGGCTCCTCTCCAGCCCTCTGAATACTTGTAAAAATTTGTCATTGCAAAAATAGGGGAAGCACAGAAATGTGCACAGAATGAAAAATAGAAAACTCATCCCATTTAATCAGTGAGAGGAAAACATTACTAATAATTTGCCATATTTACTTCTGGTATAAATGTTTTTCTCGACCACAACAGTTTTATGTGCTAAAATATGTGGTGAGCTTTAAGATACCTCTTCAACTGTGCATCTTGCTTCCTAAACATTTTGAAATGGGAATGATGTACTATAATTCTATTGATGATGATTATATTGTTTCTAATTTACAATTATTATAAAGAACACTCCCATGAACAACTTTGTTCTGAAGCTGTTTCTGTACTTAAACATATTTTCTTAGTTAGAAATCAGAAGTAGAATGTTTGGGTCAAAGGGCATTAATATGTTGAGGGTACTGACATGCATTTTGTCAAACTACTTTCCAAACACTTTCCAGTTGTAGGAATTTAAGTCTCCATCTACTGGACAATTTCTTTCTTTCTTTTTTTTTTTTTTAAGATTTTACTTATTCATGAGAGACACACAGAGAGAGGCAGAGACATAGAGGGAAAAACAGCCCTGCGGGGAGCCCACTGAGGACTTGATCCCAGGACCCCAGGATCACCACCTGAGCCAAAGGCAAATGTTCAACCACTGAGCCACCCAGGCTTCCCAGGACAATTTCTTTATAACTTTAAAAATATTATTCACTGAGGGGCTCCAGGGTGGCTCAGTTGGTTAAATGTCTGCCTTCGGCTAGGGTCATGATTCCAGGGTCCTGGGATAGCCTGGAGGTGAGCTTTCTGCTCAGCAGAGAGCCTGCTTCTGCCTCTTTCTCTCCCTCTGTCCATCTCCCTCCCCCTGCTTCTGCTCTTGCATGCTCTTGCATTCTCTTTCTCTCCCTCACACTTGCGCTCTCTCTTTCTCTTTCAAATAAATAAATACATCTTAAAAAATTATTCATTAATACAAAGCAAAAGCTTGATAATCTTACAAATCAATTATATTGCTATTTTAATTTGCATTTCTTTGATAACTAGAGACATTATTTCAAAGGATTTTATTAGCTATTTGTTTTCTTCAGTTATAAATGCAGAAAATCAAATCTATCAGGCTTTCCCAAGGGGGCATCTGTGGACCAACTCTGAAGTTACCTTTTGTGGGTCATGCAGGCCGATCCACACAGGCTGGTATATTTGGAAGCCTCTTATGTACTTTGCTACCATGTTGGCTTCCTTTATATTCTGGAGAGATGCCAGGTGGGCTCCGTTTCCATACAAGTGACACTCAAGCTGTGGGCAAGAAATTGTGCTAATCAACTCTTGAGGTTTAAAAGCATTGTCCTCGAGAGAAGGGAGGGGCAAGATGGCGGAAGAGCAGGGTCCCCGAGTCACCTGTCCCCACCAAATTACCTAGATAACCTTCAAACCATCCTGAAAATTTACGAATTCGGCCTGAGATGTAAAGAGAGACCAGCTGGAATGCTACAGTGAGAAGAGTCCGCGCTTCTATCAAGGTAGGAAGACGGGGAAAGAGAAATAAAGGAACAAAAGGCCTCCGAGGGGGAGGGGCCCCGCGAGGAGCCGGGCTGAGGCCGGGGCGAGTGTCCCCAGGACAGGAGAGCCCCGTCCCGGAGGAGCAGGAGCTGCACCAACCTTCCCGGGCGGGCGGAAAGGGGCTCGCAGGGAGTTGGAGCAGGACCCAGGAGGGCGGGGATGCCCTCGGGCTCCCGGGGACACTAACAGACACCTGCGCCCCGGGAGAGTGCGCCGAGCTCCCTAAGGGCTGCAGCGCGCACGGCGGGGCCGGAGCAGCTCGGAGGTGCTCGGGCGGCGGCTCCGCGGAGGGGGCTGCGGGGCGGGAGCGCGAATCCAACAGCGCAGGCCCCGGAGCACAGGGCGCCGGGACACAGCCCAGGATCCGGCCTCCCCCGGGACAGGCAGAGGCCGGGAGGGCCCAGGACAGCGAGGACGCTCCTGCCCCGAGCTGAGCAGATCAGCGGCCCCGCCCCGGAGCCTCCAGGCCCTGCGGACGGAGAGCCGAGAGCCCGACCGAGCCCCGTAGTTCCTGCGGAGGCTGAATCCAGGCTTCCAGAGCTGCCATAGCCACTGCGGCTGTTCCTCCTGGGGCCTCACGGGTAAACAACCCCCGCTGAGCCCTGCAGCAGGCAGGGGCAGAGCAGCTCCCCCAAGTGCTAACACCTGAAAATCAGCACAGCAGGCCCCTCCCCCAGAAGACCAGCTAGAGGGACCAGTGATACTCCCCCGTGTTCCAATACAACTTGTTTTTGGCCACTCTGCACTGAGCAAAATGACTAGAAGGAAAACCTCACTTCAAAAGAAAGAATCAGAAACAGCCCTCTCTCCCACAGAGTTACAAAATCTGGATTACACTTCAATGTCAGAAAGCCAATTCAGAAGCACCATTATACAGCTACTGGTGGCTCTAGAAAAAAGCATTAAGGCCTCACGAGACTTCATGACTGCAGAATTTAGATCCAATCAGGCAGAAATTAAAAATCAATTGAATGAGATGCAATCCAAACTAGAAGTCCTAACGACGAGGGTTAACGAGGTGGAAGAACGAGTGAGTGACATAGAAGACAAGTTAATGGCAAAGAGGGAAACTGAGGAAAAAAGAGACAATCAATTAAGGGACCATGAAGACAGATTAAGGCAAATAAATGACACTCTAAGGAAGAAAAACCTACGTTTAATTGGGGTTCCCGAGGGCGCCGAAAGGGACAGAGGGCCAGAATATGTATTTGAACAAATCCTAGCTGAAAACTTTCCCAATCTGGGAAGGGAAACAGGCATTCAGATCCAGGAAATAGAGAGATCCCCCCCTAAAATCAATAAAAACCGTTCAACACCTCGACATCTAATAGTGAAGCTTGCAAATTCCAAAGATAAAGAGAAGATCCTTAAAGCAGCAAGAGACAAGAAGTCCCTGACTTTCATGGGGAGGAATATTAGGGTAACAGCAGACCTCTCCACAGAGACGTGGCAGGCCAGAAAGGGCTGGCAGGATATATTCAGGGTCCTAAATGAGAAGAACATGCAACCAAGAATACTTTATCCAGCAAGGCTCTCATTCAAAATGGAAGGAGAGATAAAGAGCTTCCAAGACAGGCAGGAACTGAAAGAATATGTGACCTCCAAACCAGCTCTGCAAGAAATTTTAAGGGGGACTCTTAAAACTCCCCTTTAAGAAGAAGTTCAAGTAACTCTGAACGTGAATGGGCTTAATGACCCCATCAAAAGGCGCAGAGTTTCAGACTGGATAAAAAAACAGGACCCATCTATTTGCTGTCTACAAGAGACTCATTTTAGACAGAAGGACACCTACAACCTGAAAATAAAAGGTTGGAGAACCATTTACCATTCAAATGGTTCTCAAAATATACCCTAAAAACTACAGAACACTTCTGAAAGAAATTGAGGAAGACACAAAGAGATGGAAAAATATTCCATGCTCATGGATTGGCAGAATTAATATTGTGAAAATGTCAATGTTACCCAGGGCAATTTACACGTATAATGCAATCCCTATCAAAATACCATGGACTTTCTTCAGAGACTTAGAACAAATTATTTTAAGATTTGTGTGGAATCAGAAAAGACCCCAAACAGCCAGGGGAATTTTAAAAAAAGAAAACCATATCTGGGGGCATCACAATGCCAGATTTCAGGTTGTACTACAAAGCTGTGTTCATCAAGACAGTGTGGTACTGGCACAAAAACAGACATATAGATCAATGGAACAGAACAGAGAACCCAGAAGTGGACCCTGAACTTTATGCTCAACTAATATACGATAAAGGAGGAAAGACGATCCACTAGAAGAAAGACAGTCTCTTCAATAAATGGTGCTGGGAAAATTGGACATCCACATGCAGAAGAATGAAACTGGACCACTCTCTTGCACCATACACAAAGATAAACTCAAAATAGATGAAAGATCTAAATGTGAGACAAGATTCCATCAAAATCCCAGAGAAGAACTCAGGCAACACCCTTTTTGAACTTGGCCACAGTAACCGGAGAAGGACAAACAGTGTATGTTCTCATTCATTTGGGGAATATGAATAATAGCGAAAGGGAATATAAGGGAAGGGAGAAGAAATGTGTGAGAAATATCAGAAAGGGAGACAGAACATAAAGACTTCTAACTCTGGGAAATGAACTAGGGGTGGTGGAGGGGGAGGAGGGTGGGGGGTGGGGTGAATGGGTGACGGGCACTGAGGGGTACACTTGACGGGATGAGCACTGGGTGTTATTCTGTATGTTGGTAAATCGAACACCAATAAAAATTAATTTATAAAAAAAAAATAAATAAAAGCATTGTCCTCATCCCAGAACCCTGGTGCACCAAGCAGCATGGAGTGTGCAGCCCCATCTCCTCCAGAACTTGAGATCTAAACCCCACAGCACTTCCTGTCTCCATAGGAAAAAATACAATGGTCACAAGTGTGAGATCTCAGAGGAAGAAGGAGCCCGAGGCAAGGTTGTGAGATTTAGGGTCAGTGGAAGTGCCTGGGCTCCTCCTGTTCTTGCATCATATTACCTCAACAAGTCATGACCTCTCTGAACTTTCCTTACCTGCTACACAAGGGAGTTTGTGAGGATATAATTGCTATAATTACATATTATAATTCTGCATCGCAAAAAATCTAAGAAATCACTCATTATAAAATGTGCCTTTTTTGTTCATGTCCCACCAGGAAAGAAAGAAAAAACCACTGCCACTTTATCTAAATAAGGGAACATTTGATTTTGGAGGTGTTTAAACGTGAAAAGAATGTGTCTCAGAGCAGATAGCATAGGGTAGTGTTCTTCATGGAGCACCTCCAATATGAAGAGCATCTCCCACACACTGTCCCACTGAATTCTCACACCAGTCTTAGGAAGTAGGAACCACCTTTAGTTTATGGTGGAGAAACACATGATCAGAAAGGGGTGTTAGACTTAATTGCCCAAGAATAGAGCCCAGGTCTGAATAACTCTCAAGTTCCATTCTGTTTTACTTTAAATTATTCTGGCCCCCATATCGCACAAGAATAACACGTGTAAAGTGTAAACAAGTGCTCTGTACATTATCTTTATTTTGTACCAAATAGGAATAGTGTAAATTGTTTAAAAATGAGTGATGCCTCCTTCAGGAGAGAGGAGACTCCTCAAATGTTGGTTTAGAATTGAAGATCTTGTGTTAGCTACTTTTTCATTCTAGATGAACGTGCCTGTTTGCTTCCTCAGCAGTAGCCACAGGATTTAACCTAGTTGGATTTTTGAGTGCCTTCATCCCATTTAAGCTAGACTAGGGACTGGTGTGGAAGCATGCAACTATCTGCTCTGTGGCAACTTTTAAAATCTCAGCTCCAGACCCAAGTTTGTTTTACTCCCGTATGCCTTTTTTGATCCCAAATTCTTGTTCTTCAAAGAGGCTACTTTCATACCTGTTTAAGAGATTTGACCTGGATTTTTCTTGTCCATTACTGAATGATAATCACCTTTTGTTTCAGGTATTGGATGGAACATGGGGTATAACTATAACTGGAAATTTACGTCCAATTAAATAAAACAAACTTTTATATCTACATGTCATATAGCTGTATAAAGATATAGACTTATTTTATGCTCTTTTGTTACAGGATCTGCCTACATGATAAAAATTAATTTAATACAACTCAATTTAATAAAAACAGGGTCTTGGCTGTGGTCGGTATTCCAATGCTTCCCTTTGGTATCTTGCTCATGATTAGATGTGGCTAGTATTGGATGCTCATGCAGTCCTCACATTTGCAGCCACTTTACAACACCAAAATGCCCCTAATTTCATTCAACTTTGGAATATGTGATACACAGAAGACAGATGACCAGTCAAAATTTAGTGAGAGTACCAGTCACAAAGGATTCCTGGGACAGAAGAGGAAGGAGGTTCCAAGGGGTTGAGTGAGATTTTGCTCCAAATCCACACTCCTGATAGTGATGGAACCAGGCCTGGAACTCAGATCTCTCTTTCTGTGTCCAAGATCAGTTCCTCCTGTCATCTTCCTGGTCCCTCCAGACTCAGGGTCTTGAGAACTAAGATTGGCCCTCAATATTGGCAACTAGTCAAAGAGCAGCAGTGGCTATGCAAAGGTTTCTTGGGTCTTTTTCCAGCACCTTCTCTGCACTCTTTTCAGGAGTGGTTAACCTTGCTAAGGCTCTGTATCAATTCTGTGGACTGTTTTTGCCCTCAATTGAGCACCCAGCATGTGCCACAGGTAAGTCATTTTAACAAATACTTCTGACAAGCCCATGAGATAAAGTGCCATCCTCATTTAATTTTACTTACTTTTTAAAATATCTTATATATCTGTTTATTAATTTGAGAGAGAAAGAGAGAGCATGAGTGGGAGACAGAGGCAGAGAGAGAGGGAGAAGCAGACTCCCCACTGAGCAGGGAGCTCCACGCGTGGCTCAAATCAGGATCCTGGGATCATGACCTGAGCCCAAGGCAGGTGCTTAACTAACTGAGCCACCGAGGTGCCCGTGTCATCCCCATTTAAAAGCAAGAAAACAGGTAAAGTGAGGTATAGTTTAACTCTATAAGGCAGACTCATGATTTAAACTCAGGTCAATATTACTCCCAAGTCCCTAGGTATCTTCCTCTTTGTTTTGGTAGAATTCGTGTTGGAATCTCTGGAAACAGCAGTACAGGTGACCTTTCAGAATTTCATAAAGTTGCTTCTCAAGAATTGAAGAAAAGTTGGTTGCTCTCCATTAGCTTTTTTTCTTTTAGTGAATAGTGTCTGGGAAACTCCTTCTTCATGTAGTTCTCTCTCTCTCTCTCTCGTTCACATCACAAAGGAAGCACTGCATTAGGGCTGACTTCCATGGGTTTGCTCCACTAGTTACTCTGGGTGTAATCGGGGTAACATCACTTTTGCTTACACTGCACTGAAATTTTCTGTTTCAACATCACAATTTTGCACTAATCCTGCACTTTCTAAAGCCACAGAAGACTTTGCATCCTCAATAGCTATAACTTGGTAAGTGCTCCATCATTGCTGAGTTATTTGTATACAGAGTTCTGAGGCCATACTGGGCCCAGATCACATCACATTTCCCCATAAGGTGCCCCCAGCCAGTCATGTCAGTTAAACCATCACGACCCAGAGAAACAGCAGCATGGGCTCCCCACAATCCTCTGAGGCGGACTGCCTACTTGGGTATCTTCAGTGAAACAAAACCAGTAAATTTGTTGGGTGGTGTAGACAATGAAGCCTTCCATTTGTTTAGATTGCTTCATTATCTATCAGGTGGTTCTGAAGACCATGTCCCAGGCCTGGTAAATCTGGTACAGCAATTCAATGATTCTTTCTATTAGGTCTTTATCTTCTTATTCTCCTTCTCTTAGTTTATTTCTGTCCTTCTTACTGACAGTGACCTCCTTGAGGGTGATGGCTGTTTTTTGTTCAATTGTACATCTTCACAACCCATCTAGGGTCTGGGCATATAGCTCAGGCTCCACCAATGCTTTTAGAACTGAGTGAGTTGAAACACACAACTGCCCTCTCTCCATTTCAGCATAGAGGTGACTCCTCAGAATGCCAAGGAAGGACCCTTAGTTCTGAGTCGCACGAGATCTGCAGCTCTGAGTGGCCTCTTGCTTTAGAGATCCCTAAGTGTGGGGCCAGATTTCTTACCTCAGCCTCAGACCAGTTTTTCAGCTTCCAGAAGTATCCATAGCAATTGGACTTGTAGTAAAACCATCCAGGAGCACAGCTGGGTCTCATGATGATGTCTGCACAGACACCAAAGGCAATCACAGTCATGATGGCAAAAACAATCAATTACCACACTAGTCAGTTTACAAAATGAAGAGGAGGCTGGTGCCCTGGAAGGACCCTGCTATGCTGCCAAATCTTTATACTGTTAATCTTTCTCTCAGCCTTCTCCAAAGGGAACTATGGCCTTTAGAAGGATAACTGTGCATTGGAGAAAAGGATACAATCAGATCTTTGGGGGATTACTGGACACTGTTTCTGAACTGACACTAATTCCCAGAGACTCAAAAAGTCACTGTGGTCTGCCAAAGGAGGGGCTTATGGAGGTCAGGTGACCACACAGTTTTAACTAGGATCATTTCATGGGATCTTTGGGACCCCAAGGCCATCCTGTGATTATCTCCCCAGTTACGGAATGCAGAATTGGAACAGACATACTCAGTGACTGGAAAAATCCCCACATTGGTCCTAAGGTCAAACAGCCATAATTGAAGGCAGCACAAGAGTGGATGAGTGGCATAGATTAGTAGTGCTGGTTTTGGCTAGGGGGGACAGGACAGGTTAGATGCCAACTTGGATGGAGCTTGAGGATGCGTGAGCTGAGCCGTAAGTCAGTAGCAAGGGGGCATGTGAGGCAAAGGGGGTGTGTGAGCAGAGGAATGGGCACAGAAATGTGTAAGCTGTGCACAGCAAGAACAAGCACTTAATTTTGCCTTAAGTACAGGGAATCTTTCAGGCAAACACGGTGGAAAGGAAAAGAAGAATCAAGGCCTGGAAGCCAAGGAAACCATGACAGAGAGAGGCACAAGTTCTTTGTGCTAGTGGATTAGTGAGTGGGCTACGATACCATATCTGAAGGTTTAAAAAACAAGAAGGTGGCTGAAAATGCAGAGGGCCTAGATGTTGAAGGGAATGCCAAGCTGGCAAGTTTGGGCTTTGTAACCATGTGGCTGTGCTCCAATGCTAGAGATGAGTGCAAGGCTCTTTCTATTCCTAGTGGATGTCCACAGACTGTTGTCACAAAGAGAGCATTTCCTCTCTCCTCTCTCAAATGACACTACCGTCACTTGTTTGCACCATTTCCCTGTTCTATTTCATCCCTCGCCTATAAATCTCTAGGAATTTCCTATGCTTTCACAATCTCCTTACTCTGGCTAGCATGTGAGGGCTTTCATCACCTAGTCCCAGCTGGATCTTCCTATGCTGCAACCCCAGAAATTCTTTACAATTGCAGGGAGGATCTGTGGAAGAGTAGTGGAGTGACAGGTGAGAATGTCCTGGCTCTACTTCACTCCCCAGGCTTAGTTTGGGTGAATTTCAAGCCCCTGCAGGGAAGCCAGAACCAGAACAACAGGGAGCTAACTATCTGGCTAGTTGGCTCCACAGGAGGGCTCAAAGGCTACCCCCCATAGTCTTTCACACTCTAGCATGGTTCAGAGAAAGTGGCTGAATTCCCCAGGACCCAGGGAAGCCATAGGATTGAGAGAACTGGTGGCTGCTGGTTGGCATGGTGTGGAGGGCAGAGAGCCTTAGAACACAAGGACACATCCAGGGTAGGCTAAGACAAGAACTACAGAAGTGAGCCACGGACATGAATACGATGCCCAAAGAACACTACTTCTCTCCCTATGTCCCTCCAGTGGATCTCCCCATGGCCAAAGTATTCCCCAGTGGGAAGAATGTCAGGTTATATACATGCTCAGACATGGTTTCCTTCATGGGGCCACATGGGACTGTGAAAGGCACCCTGGACTAGCAGCCAGAACATCGCATAATCTTGCTGTGTGATCTTGGGCAAGTCCCCACCTCCTTTGGGCCTGATTTTCCTTATAAACAGAACAAAGGCATTACACCAAATGTGCCTACATTTCATTTTTTCCACTTCAGATATTCTATGATACTTATTTTTAGCTTGTGCATACAGTCTTCTTGGCTTTCTCCACTTGGGAGATCTTAGATTATTGATTCTCACTTTGTTGACATGTTACTTTGTACTTGATGCTGGGTCTACATGTATGGAGGAGTCATCTCTCCCATGAGGCTGTAAGTCCTTTGCAAACCAGAATTCCCAGCATATTCAAATGGGAAAACAATGTATAAACATTGGGTAGCTCTGATTAGAGCTCTCACTTATTGACTGCTAGGCGTCAGGTACTTTAAATACATTATCTCTAACCTTCACAAGAAACTTGCAAAATTATTATAACCAACTGTGGAGGCCAAGAAAATTAGGGCCTTTCAGGTTTAACATTGGCACAAGTACAGCCCATTGTAGCCTCGGTAGCCATCTCAGGCCACTGTGACCAGGCCACTGTGACCAGGTACTGAACTCTATCTTACCCTGGCTACAGGCAAAATCACAAAGCACGCCCTTATCGGAATAAGGAAGCAAGAGCTTGTGAGACCTCTTTACTGAAAATTCTCACACCCCTACCCTTACTGAAAAACCCCACCTTACCCCTAGACCAGCCCATAAAAACCCAGCTGTAACCCACCTCAGGGTCCAAGTCCCTGCTCCGCTGTATCGAGTATACTTGGACCCAAGCTCGAGCTTGTTAATAAACCCTCATGTACTTGCATCGGTGTCAGCTCCTTGGTGGTTTGCTCAGATTCTCAATCTTGGGCACAGCACAACATTTAGTTGATAATTTAACTATGGCTCACAATTATACAAGGCTAGAATTTGATTCTATAGTCCTGCACTTTTTTACTACGTGACATGGTCTTTCATTCCTGTCTGATATCCACCGCCTGTAGCACCTAAACATTTTTTTTTTTTTTTTGCGAAAGGAGGGCTATGTGAGTTTGCTGCATGAACACTGGCTCTAGGCTCAGTTCCAGCTGAGTGACTGATACTTACTACCCAGGACGTCAGTGCTGGCTATGAAGCTCAGCAATAGGAGCAGCCACATGCTTTTGGGAGCCATCGTCCTCTTCCCTGGAGAGCAGAAGAGACCTATGAGATTTCCCTCGAAGTTCCTGGATTCACCTGGATCTGTAATCTGAACACAGTGGGTGAAACTGACCCAGGAATTTAGATGCCAAATCACCTATGGAGGAAAAAAGGGTTTGTTTGTTTGTTTGTTTGTTTTTTGGCTAAACTCAGATCATACAATAAAGGGAACTTCAAGCTAAATTTAGAGATTAGGAATATTTAATTTATGTCACCTGCAAAGCCTCTGGTCCAGCGCCAGAGAACTACCTGTACTGGGATGAATAGTTTAAAAGTCTGAATGAAGGCATTTGGTATATTGTGAAGAGCCTGCTCCTGCTATTTTCAGGAGAACCAACAAGCTTTCTCACAGATCAGGCAGTAATGGACTTTCTATAGAGTCAATTCAATCAAATCAAATCAGCCCAAGAGTGAATTTTTCTATGTTAGAACTAAAAGTGAATATGTGGTCCAATACCCATATTTCACAGATGAGAGGACCCAAGGTCTATGGGTATGAAGTGGTTTGCTCATTGGTACACAACTACAACTACATATTCTGACTTTAGGGCAACCCTCTGTCCTTTATGCTTAACTGATAACCACTTTTTTTAAAAAAAAGAAAATAACTTTCCCCATTACCAGACAGTACATGAATTATTAAGAAATCAGTGAATGAGGAGGGCACTTGATGGGATGAGCACTGGATATTATACTATATGTTAGCAAATCGAACCTCAATTAAAAGAAAATGGAGAAAGAATTAGATGAGAATCATGGCCCATTATCTTGGGTGGATACTGCTCACTATCTATCTTGGGTCAACTGCCTTTTCCTAAAACTGACTGCTTTCAGAAGACCTCTGAGGAGCCTGTTTGAGTAGCCTTCTTATTTTGTCCAATTCTGAATTGTTTTTAAATTTAAGGCTGAACTTCCTGGAAAAAAATTAAAAGGCGAAAAAATCAGTGAAAAACTGGAAGATAGGAAGTAAACTTTATCTCCCAGAGATAAACAATTTAGTGACCAGCTGATAGACGTCGTTCCATGTACATCTGTATATGTGTGCAGGTTTGTGTGCCATTTTATATAAACAGAGTCATAGAGTTTCTTTACCTGGTTTCATTTCTCTGAAACTGGTTGATTGTAATGAACCTTCTTCCCCTCACATAATTATTATGCAGTTTTGATTCCCTCTTTAGTATAAATACACACACACACAGGGTTGTGACTTCACAGAACATGCACACACATTGATACCCTTGGCTAAAATTCCCTCTGAATGGACTGTTCTGTACATTCCAGTAATAGCACACAGATAGCAATGCCAGTTCCCCCAAACCTCCAGGAACACCCAATTTGTCCAGTTTTTTTCTTGCTAATTTTGGCATAATAAACAAAACTCTCATTGTTTTGTTAGTATTTTTTAATATTAGTAATTAAATTATTTAAATTAATAATTTTTTAAAATGCTCAAAATATATAAAAATGAGCTGAACAATTTTTATATGATGATTAGCTTTTTAAATTTCTTTTGTAAATTTTTGGTTTATAGTTTTGCACATTTTTACTATTTGATTGCTATTTTTTTCCTCAGAAATCTGTAGGCCCTTCTTTGTGCATTTATTGCCTTTCATATATTACTAAGAATATTTCCCAGTTTGTATATTTCTTTTCATTTATATCTTTTGCCACAATGAAGATTTCAGTAATGGCTATATTTACCTTCTCCTTTATAACATTCTGAATTTATATAACAAAAACATGGTAATGATATATCAAATAAATAGGAAAATGATGATTTTTTAAAAAAGAATCAATGTTGGCACAATTAGATATCTGTCAATTTGGAAGGAAAAAAATGTTGGACCTCTGCTTCTTCATACTCAAAAATATAACTTCTAAATGGATTTAAGCCTTAAACATAAAGGTTTAATTTGAAATTTGCAAATTTTAAAGGTATATGTCTACTTTGGTATGATGGAGAAAGTTTTTGATTAATCCTGGAAACCCAGGAGATACCAAGAAAAAAAAATGACATATTTGATGACATTAAATGATTCAATAAAGGAGACACAGGCAAAAAAACAAAACAAAACAAAAACAGAAAACAAAAACAGGCCATTACCATCCACATAAGATTAAAATATCTACCCATATTCTGTTTTATTTTCATTCATCTGACATTTATTTTAGTGTAAGCATGCCATTGGGTCCAAGGTTTTTTCCCAAATGATTATGAGGATGAGGAATTCCTTGAATCCTACTTTGAGCATACCTTATGATCCAAAAATCAAAATATATATTCTGTCAAATAATAGATTGCTTAAGTGGAATGATGGAGCATAATATTTAAACTTTCCTAGACAATCTGAAGATTCGATCCCTACACAAGTCCGTGTGAGCGCTCTGACACAGTGTGAATAAAGAAGGAAACCAAATGGTGAAGAGACCCCTCCACCTTTTAACATCATTGCATTAACCCTGCACTTCTCTGATGAACCTCCCTTCTGAAGGTGATGGAGGTACTCTCAATGTCCTGCAATCCCCTTAAAACACAAACTGCAAGGACTTCTCCACCAAGCCAACTGTCTGAGGGAAGGGAGGTACAGCATCTTTTGGAATAATCTATAAGTGGATCTTAACACACTGGCATTCATTGAATGCTCACATGCCACCTAACCTAATTCTAACTAAGCTGCATTGTATATATTAACTTATTTTACCCATGAAGATACCATGTTCATTGAGATTAAGTAACTTTCACAGCTGCTAGATTTCATAGCCATGGTTTAACCTGATGCTGACACCAAATGCAACGCTGTTTATAATAAGGAAGAAAAGAAATGCATAGTTCAAATTAAAAAACACAGCAGCAAGAAGCATGACAAACATCATTAGACCCAAAGCTTGTAATTTCTGGCCCAATGAAGAGCTAGCAGAGGAAAACAAATGTTCAAAGAAAGCCTTCTCCCCTCAACTGGTAGAGAATTATCTGGTTGGCCCCCAAGGCTTTGAGAACCCCTACCTTCTTTGGTGTCCTGAGAAATCCCAGGGAGTTCCTGAGTTCTTAAATCTTCTTGATTCCAGAATTATATATGACCTTTGTTTGTCTGAATATTTATTTACTTACTCACCAGAGACAGAGGGAGAAAGAGGCAGAGACATAGGCAGAAGGAAAAGCAGGCTCCCCACAGGGAGCCCAATACAGGGCTCCATCTTAGATCCCAGGATCACACCCTGAGCCGAAGGCAGATGCTCAACTGCTGAGCCATGCAGGCATCCCTGTATGATCTTTGTTTTAATCATAGAGCAATAATATTGCTTGAAGTAATAATCCATCCATAAAAGTCTTATCTGTAGTCAAAGAGAATGTGTGAGAGAAGGCTTGAGAATGAATCAAATAGCCAGAAGAATTCCTCCCTGTTTGTAAACAGCTTTTCCTTTCCATCTATCAAAACTGGCAACATCCTGTCATGTTAGAAGCCCATCTTCTCTCACTGTGTCTACTTTTTCTTCTGTCAATCTTTGTCATCTCTTTCTACTTCCCATTTCCTTTCTTTCTCCTCCCTTTCTATAAAGATGCCCCACTTCAACTCTGGAGAATCAGGATGTGTCTATATCTTTGTGGAAAAGATTTGCCACCAGGTAGGATGGAAGTTCTGCACACCTGTGGTGTACTTGAGGGGTCCAGATAGACTTTCCCCTTTAAGGCTCCAACCCTATCCCCCTCAGCATGCACCCCATTCCTCAAATATCTATTTCAGCTCCTTCTCTTTGTTCGTCAGGAACAGAGCACTGAAATCTTGTCCTACTGTAGAACAATTACATCAAAATAGCTTACATTGATATAATATTTTACCATAGAGTGTTTCTGTGAGATCCTAACAGACCCCTTGGGAGTTATGTAGGACATTTACCCTCATTTCACACTGAAGAAACTCAATGTTAAGAGATAGTAGAGAGTCTTCTCAGTCAGGTGTGTGATGTTGGTCAGTGATGGAGCTGGATGGTGACCTCAGGTCTTCCCCGTTTCCTGAATTACTCAGTCTTATCAGTGACAAATACCCACCATTTGCTTCAACGTGGATGGAACTGGAGGGTATTATGCTGAGTGAAGTAAGTCAATCGGAGAAGGACAAACAGTGTATGTTCTCATTCATTTGGGGAATATGAATAATAGTGAAAGGGAATATAAGGGAAGGGAGAAGAAATGTGTGGGAAATATCAGAAAGGGACACAGAACATAAAGACTCCTAACTCTGGGAAATGAACTAGGGGTGGTGGAAGGGGAGGAGGGCGGGGGGTGGGGGTGAATGGGTGACGGGCACTGAAGGGGACACTTGACGGGATGAGCACTGGGTGTTATTCTGTATGTTGGTAAATTGAACTCCAATAAAAATTAATTTATAAAAAAAAAAAAAAGAAAGAAAGAAAATAGCCTGTTGGGCAATCCCGGCGGCGCAGCAGTTTAGCGCCGCCTGCAGCCTAGGGTGTGATCCTGAAGACCCGGGATGGAGTCCCACGTGGGGCTCCCTGCATGGAGCCTGCTTCTCCCTCTGCCTGTGTCTCTGCCTCTCTCTCTCTCTCTGTGTCTCTCATGAATAAATAAATAAATAAAATATTAAAAGAAAGAAAGAAAGAAAGAAAATAGCCTATTTAGAAAAGGCAACACTATTTCTTTCTCTAGTGTAGATAGCAAAAAAAAAATTTTTAACTATGTTGAAAATATCAAAGATTATTCAACCTCAAAGGACAAGAACTTTAAGGCTGGGAAGGATAATGGTATTTCTCAAGTCCTGTGCTTCTGCTCCACCATCGATGAACCTGTGGCCGAGAGAAGCACCGTGAGTGATTCAGTACAGAGCTAGTTCGGAGTGAAGCTGGTGTCAGAAACTGGGCTTTCTTCCTCTCAGTCCAGAGTTCTTTTTACAGTGCTACTTGAGCTTTTCCATTGGCTTTTTCTAGCCTGTGTATACAGGACAGGAGAAAGTCATG